GATGCTTGGATAGATGAGTGGATTGATGTTTGATGGATGTATTGGTGGGCGAATAGATAGGGAGATTGATAAGGGTTAAGCTAAAATGCAGTAACTGTATAGTAACATCCATATCACCGTGGAGGATCTCCGGCTTCAGCATGACACTTACACGTATCATATATGGAATATTGCACATATATCATTACCGATATCTTCTACATACCATATTACCACCCAGTAGAAAGCTTTAACGGCCGAATTCTGTCACGACACATACTGTAAATCTGGAAATTAATGAGCCTCCAAATTAATACGACTGCTGACCCCCAGCCAAAAATGCGACTCAATATCAATGCGACTCCCCCCCCCCCCCCCCCTAACCCCACCCCCTCCCCAATGGAATGATACATATCCTTACCTCAAACCAATCAAACGCAAATAGCACCGCGTATTAGCACTGAGTGCAATGTAAAATAAATCAAGAATCTTGCAAAATTCATATGCATAATAGATAAGTACCTTTGAGTGTAGTTGTGTATATGTGTGTTTGTTTATGTATGTATTTGTACAGTATAACCGACATCTTGTTAAATATTAATTATTATCGTGTTAAGAAACTTTTTCTCCTGTACCGGCGTGGGTGCTTCTCTTTTTAGAAATAAATAATGAGGATGATGATGATGATGGTAAAGCACTTCTGTTTTCCTAAAAACAACACACAGTTTATATGTTTACTGTGTTGACTTGCATTAAGGAAGTTTAAAGGCAATAAGAAAACTCTCCATTCCTGAAAAATAATGGCGCGTTGAAACAATAGAATGACGTCACATATGTGTTTTTAAATACAAGCATACACGACAGGGAAGGTTATTCCAGCTCCAAGTGACATCGGACACGGTTAGTACTACACATTTTCTTTTCTTATAATCTTTTTGACTTCGACATGGAGGCTGGGATTTTTTTTAAGACAAGATATTCTTTTCAGCTACAGCTGCTAAACTTGATATTTTATTAATATGTTTGTTTGTTTGTTTGTTTGTTTGTTTGTTGTTTAATGCCACACTCAGCAATATTCCAGCTATTTGATGGCGCTCTGTAAATAATCGGGTCTGGACCAGACAATTCAGTAATTGATATCATGTGCATCGATCCACACAAATGGGATCGACAACATGCATCAACTAAGTCAGCGAGCCTGACCACCCGATCCCGTTAGTCGCATCTTACGAATAATATCATGAGCATCGATCCACACAATCGGGTTCGATGACATGCATCAACCAAGTCAGCGAGCCTGACCACCCGATCCCGTTAGTCGCCTCTTTCAACAAGCATAGTCGCCTTTTACGGCAAGCGTGGTTTGCTGAAGACCTATTCTACCCCCGATCTCACGGGTCTAGCTGTAAGGTCATTAAGATCACCAAGAAAATATAATATGAATAAGACTTGTATTTATTTGGCCAAATGAAATGTTTATTTCATCTTGTGGTTTAATAAACTTGATATTTTGACTTCTGTCTGTGCCACTCATGAAAACATTAACTTTGCTATCATCATTATTTGACAAGGAAAACACATTTCCTCTTTGTATTTATAATTTTTTATATATTTCTCGTCTCGATTGAATTATCAAAATTATCAAAACTATCACACCATTTGACTTGATTAAGTTAAACTAAAGTTCTGAAGATTGTTAATAATAGCAAAATATTACATCATAACAATATAATTATTACACACTAATACAGTAAGCACAACTATCATCTAATATATAAATTAATATGATTAATACATTTTATCATTTAACTTAAGCATTTAACCATGACAGTAACTTCACATGGCAATGGAAAACATGTATCACAACGCACGATCTATACGTAAGATTTCGACAAGTTGCTGATGTTAATGTTATTTCAATTATTCCTTAAAAGGGAAGCAAAATGTGAAAATGATAAATAGAATTCACCACCAGTGAAAAAGGCTCGGCAAATACCTATTAACTAAGACTCGGTTGATATTTCCCATATTAAAAACACTCGTGATAAATCCTCTATGTAATGGCAATAATACATTACATGGCATTTGCTTGCACAAAAGAAATTATTTTGTTTTAAAAGTTTCAAAACATGTTTGTGTGCAAACAACAAGATGGATTTGATTATTAAACAAAGGGAATAAATGAGTTATGATTGCAATACCCATGGGAATTGCACAGCATTCATGAAAATAATTTATTATTAGGTCTACGGCAAGCAGCCATGTTTTGTATTTTTAAACAGAGTGTAGATGATTATTGTTTTCAAGAATTTTCTGTGACATTTTATTTTTTTCGATAAAGTCCCAACTCTATCCCCCTCTAACTTCCCCAAGAGCTTGAACACGTGTGTTGCTGTGATGACTCGGTCATTACGTGACAGTCAGCAAGAGTTGTATCACAACTGCCAGTAAATAACCAGCATCAAGATAATCAGCATCCACATAATTAGCATCAAGATAATCAGCATCAAGACAATCGGCATCAAGATCATTGGCATCAAGATCATCGGCATCAAGATTATTGGCATGGGGATAATCGGCATGGAGATAATCAGCACCAAGACAATCGGTATCTAGATCATCGGCATCAAGATAATCAGCATCAAGACAATCGGCATCTAGATCATCGCATCAAGATCATGGGGATCAAGATTATTAGCATGGAGATAATCGATAATCAGCATGGAGATAATCGGCATGGAGATAATAAGCATCAAGATAATCAGCATCAAGAAAATTGGCATCAAGATAATCGGCATCAAGATTATTGGCATGGAGATAATCGATAATCAGCATCAATATAATCGGCATGGAGATAATCGGCATAAAGATCATCGGCATCAAGACAATCGGCATTAAGATCATCGGCATCAAGATAATCGGCATCAAGACAATCGGGATTAAGATCATCGGCATCAAGATAATCGGCATCAAGATAATCGGCATCAAGATCATCGGCATCAAGATAATCGGCGTCAAGATAATCGGCAGCAAGATCATCGGCATCAAGATAATCGGCATCAAGATTATTGGCATGGAGATAATTGATAATCAGCATCAATATAATCGGCATGGAGATAATCGGCATAAAGATAATCGGCATCAAGATAATCGGCATCAAGATCATCGGCATCAAGATAATCGGCGTCAAGATAATCGGCAGCAAGATCATCGGCATCAAGATAATCGGCATCAAGATTATTGGCATGGAGATAATTGATAATCAGCATCAATATAATCGGCATAAAGATAATCAGCTTCAAGATAATCGGCATCAAGACAATCAGCATCAAGATTATTGGCATGGAGATAATCGATAATCAGCATGAAGATAATCGGCATGGGGATAATCAGCTTCAAGATAATCAGCATAAAAAAAGTTCGCATCAAGATAATCGGCATCAAGATTATTGGCATGGAGATAATCGATAATCAGCATCCAATCAGCATGGAGATAATCCGCATGGAGATAATCGGCATAAAGATAATCAGCTCCAATATATTCGGCATCAAGACAATCGGCATCAAGATCATCGGCATCAAGATTATCGGCATCAAGATTATTGGCATCAAGATCATCGGCATCAAGATTATTGGCATCAAGATTATTGGCATCAAGATCATCGGCATCAAGATCATTGGCATCAAGATCATCGGCATCAAGATTATTGGCATCAAGATCATCGTCATCAAGATCATCGGCATCAAGATTATTGGCATCAAGATCATCGGCATCAAGATTATTGGCATGGGGATAATTCGGCATGGAGATAATCGGTATCAAGATAATCAGCTTCAAGGTAATCGGCATCAAGAAAATTTGCATCAAGATCATCGTCATGAAGATAATCGGCATGGGGATAATTGGCATAAATAAAATTGCATCAAGATAATCGGCATCAAGTTGATTGGCATCAAGATAATCAGCAACACGATAATCGGCATCAACACCATTAAGCGTTGTGAACTCATAAGGGAGCATGGATTTGATTTGTATTTGGAGGGGCGAGGGATTTTTTTGTAAAAGAGCACGGACACGGATATGGTGCTGACAAACCTAGAAACATAATCGGGGCGAACCGGGATTCCAACCCACAGTCATAGGTATCTGGCGTGCTAAGGGACGCAACTCTGCACAGCGAATCGCGGCGCCGTAGACGACTGGACCACTGTCTGCTTATCGTTTTCAGTTTAGGTCAAGTGGATATAGCTACTACCCTTTGTGGGGCTGTGGGGTAACCTAGTGGTTAAAGCGTTGACTTGTCACGCAGAAGGACCGAGTTCGATTCCCCAAATGGGTTCAGTGTGTGAAGCCCATTTCTGGTGTTCCCCGTCGTGAAGAAAAAACTAGACTATGTTGCTAAAAACGGCGTAAACCCATACTCACTCACACACTACTCTTTGTTAAACTGAGACATTGTTTTCTTGTAACCATAAATGGTAATCATTTACTGATTTATATCATAGCATTTCAGTCAGTTTGCAGGGACTGCCAATTTTCCGTGCCAGGACCCACTGTAAAGTAGAGCGTTGATTGGTCAGCCAGGGAAAGTAACAGTTATTGTGTGGGCAAGAAATCCTATGAGTGAGTGAGTGAGTTGGGTTTTACGCCGCTTTTAACAATATTCCAGTTATATCGCGGCGTGTCAGTTTAATGTGGGAGGAAAGCCCGAAGTGATGCAGGTCTCAGACGTTTACCACTTCGGTGAAACCCACGCGCACGGGTATGGTGCTGACAAACCTAGAAACATAATCGGGGCGAACCGGGATTCGAACCCACAATCATAGGTTTCTGGCGTGCCCAAGGGACGCAACTCTGCACAGCGAATCGCGGCGCCTTTGACGACTGGGCTACCATATCCGTGCTCGTGGGTCTCACCGAAGAGGTAAACGTCTGAGGCCTGCATCACTTCGGGCTTTCCTCCCACATTAAGCCGACACGCCGTGATATAACTGGAATACTGTTAAAAGCGGCGTTAAACTCACTCACTGAAGAATAAAACATATCGAGTGAATTCAAAGCTGATTCCTACGTAGAGGGCCGTTGCTAATTGTTCTTCCCGCGATATAACTATATAAGTCATCCATGGTATTATGTTATGCCGAGGCGCACAGCATATTCCTACCAAGCAGTCAGTCATTATATCTTCAACTGCCATTTATATGCCCTATTATGCATGTATCGAAAATCTGTCACTCCGCTAATGACATTAACGGCTTAGACCCTGAAACGAAGCCTTGTTACTTAATCCCAGTGCCTCAACAAAGACACGGCTAATCCCAATCCGTGTGTAGTGCCGAGGAAAGAGGGCTTTGTAGTCATGGTAGGTTGTTATAGGACTTTAAGGACGCTTCTACCCCAGGTACACGTAATCTACCCAGTGAGCCGTTCACATTGCCGGGTGTTGAGGGAGGACCTAAGAAACGAGACTTAAGTTGACTAACTTGATTATCGATTTTTTTGAGAATTTATTTCTTATCGATTTAAACATGGTGTTGACAGTTGTGACATGATCCAGCGGTGAAACTATCTTGTTGGTGCGCGGTTTCACGGGACTTCACTATTTCGTGTAAGTGCACTGCAAGATTGGCCAGCATGGATGTGTAGTTTCTCCATGCTCTCAATACACGGGGGACAGTGCGTCCGCCTCAAGGAACCATAGCCAGTGTTGTGTGAGCGGGGAAGACGTGATTCAGCGTCTGGGACATTGATACGGGAAACGGTACATCGAAATAACCCCAGGAACCACAGACAGCGTTTGTTGAGAGAAGTGATTCGGTGATTCGGTTTCCTGGAATACTAGACGTGTTGGTTTAGAAGACGAGACAGTGTTGGTAGTTAAGGCGTGATTCACGCTCAATGAAGACGAGACATTATTGCTGAAAGTGCGCTAGGTATTCTCCGTGAGGACTAGACAGTGTAGCTTTAGTAGACGTGATTCACTCTCAAGGAAGACGTGACAGTGTTGGTCGTTAAGGCGTGATTCACGCTCAATGAAGACGAGACATTATTGGTGCACGTGATTCACTCTCAAGGAAGACGTGACAGTGTTGGTCGTTAAGGTGTGATTCACGCTCAATGAAGACGAGACATTATTGTTGAAAGTGCGCTAGGTATTCTCCGTCAGGACAAGACAGTGTTGCTTTAGTAGACGTGATTCACTCTCAAGAAAGAAGTGACAGTGTTGGTAGTTAAGTCGTGATTCACGGTCAATGAAGACGAGACATTATTCTGGAATGTGCGCTAGGTTTTCTACGTGAGGACCAAACAGTGTTGCTTTAGTAGACGTGATTCACTCTCAAGGAAGTGTAGACCTTCGTTGTAAAGGAGTAATTCACTCTCAAGGAAGGGTAGATAGTGTTGAAAAGACGCGATTCAGAAGACTAGACAGTGTTTCTCGAGAATACGTGATTTACGCTGAAGGCAGACAGGAGAGTTTTGGTATAACAGGCGTAAACCACTCCCCAGGACGACAAGACAGCGTTTGCCGAGGAGACGTGATTCATTCTCCCGGAAGACTAGAGAGTAGAGGGTGAGCGTAGAAGCGTTGGAGACCTGTTTGTATCAAGACATGTAGATTGAAGGAGATACAAGTACAGCACATTAAGCGTATAGTCTTATGTCACTTGAGGTCGTCTTCGTTCCTTCTCCATCGTCGAGTGTCTATATCTAATAGAGGTCTAGACTTTGGTGTGTATTATATTGAGGAAGGAAACACCTGTCAGAGGAATTAGCAATTAAATCTGAAGTGAAAATCTGCAAGTCTTACCGGAGGAGGCCATTGGCGAAGACGAACGGACAAATCAATCGTAAACGGTATATATACAGTTTAACTGTTTATGGAAATAAAGTAAATCCGTCGCCAAGCTTTTATTTTTTGGTCTACCCCTTTCAAATCACCGAGAACTAATAAAAAGGACCGAGGCCAACTGAGAGTCCTCGGATTAAGGCCATGACGTCCAGAAGCGCTAGTCCCCGGATTAAAGCCATGACGTCCAGAAGCGCCAGTCCTTGGATAAAGACCATGACGTCCAGAAGCGCCAGTCCTCGGATAAAGACCATGACGTCCAGAAGCGCCAGTCCTCGGATTAAGGCCATGACGTCCAGAAGCGCCAGTCAGTCCCAGGTGTATGTGCGACAGAGTACGGGAGCTCCCGACCGAGTGGTTGACATCAGTGTCGGAGGAGCAGGCAGCGTTTACCTCCCTTGTTTCAGCTCGCCACCTCGATTCCTCCGATCAAAATCGGCCTTCAAGTTCTCCATCGATGGCGCATCTCCCAATTTGCTGACGCCTGCCGACAGAAGAAAGCCCGACCTGCTGACGTCTGTTGTGTATGAAGGGGAGGTTGCAGACATTGTCAACAGACTCCGGCGTCCGACAATCTCGACGAAACGTAAAACTGTGAAACTTTATCCCAATTTGGGGTACGTTGATATGAACTTTTATTCCTGGAAGAACATGCAGCTGTACTCGGACTACCAGAGGACTATCTTTAATGAAAACGGAGCAGTCAAACCCTCATTTAGAAGATGCGGACAAAGGAATTCTTGGATGTGACATAACGTTGTTGTTCCATCTAAAAGATGATATTGTTTTATGACCCCGTTTACAATTTCCCAGTATTTCAAATTGTTGTAAGCTGCATAAATAAATAACGTTTCTCAAAAGCGAGGATGGAGGTAAACCTTGTTTTTATTTAAAAAATGATGAGGGAGGAATATATAATATTTTTCCCCACAAAGAATACCACAAACAAGACTCGAATTTCAAGACAAAGTCAGTTGTCAAGCATGGGTCTGCTTCATATGATGCAGGACATTTAAAACATACCGTATTCAACGTAATAAGCGCCCAGGGCGCTCTCAAAATTAGAAATAGGGGGCGCTTATTAGAATATTATTTTGAGTTGAAAGATCGTAAATTTCGTGGTTTATGCTAACAGCCTGAAATGTTAACATACGACAGATATATTTTTCAAGAATTTAATTGCCCATAATTAAGGGTGATATAACACACGAGTGTGTATTATTCACGAATAAATAAGTCTTGTGTAGATGGATCAATCGGAAAGGGTGCTGATTGGGATTGTTCACTAGCCAATATATTAGCAAATATCGCTGTGGGCGCTTATCAGAGCGGGGCGCTAATTACGTCGATTACGGTAGTATTTATTGCCAGTACAAAGGGCAGGATTTAAAGTGAGGCGCCGATTCCCAAGAAACATTTCCTGTGTTTGCCTTATAAAGGCACAATTGTAGGCACACTAACGGACTTATTTTTTCCTGATTGGCTCATAGTTGGATGGGCGGAGCTTGTGTTGCATTATTGAGCTGCACGATGTCCCTGCTTTCGTGTTGTTGTCAACTGTATTTGTGTATTAATAATTAAATATACAGTATCTGATGTTCTTATTGTTGACCAACATGTTTTCAATTATGATTGACTTCAATATTTATTAATGATCGTGCCTCCGTGCACGCAATAAACATTGAAAAAAAACCCACAGATGCCTTTGCTCTACAGTGTGTGTGTGTGTGTGTGTGTGTGTGTGTGTGTGTGTGTGTGTGTGAAATGTGTAGACAGCACCACAAATAAGCGGATGACACGAATCACGATATCAATGGCGTCACCAGTTACTACATGGTATTTACCCGCAGGTCCTGCATGATGTTACTGTTGACACTGACATCGTTCGTTTATCATATCAGCTCATAGTGAGTGAGTGAGTGAGTGAGCAATATTCCAGCGATAGCAAGGCGGGGGACACCAGAGATGGGCTTCACACATTGTACCCATGTCGGGATTGGAACCCGGGTCTTTGGCGTGACGAGCAAACGCTTTAACCACTAGGCTACCCGACCGCCCCTATCAGCTCATACATGTACATGTATTGAAGTCGTTGTCACAGGGTTAACTGGAAGCAGGACGCAGATATTGGGATGGTAGAGGAAACTGAGACTGTATTTAGTTGTTAATTTTGTTGTGGTTGTTATGCTTTTAATTGTGGTCAATACGGATAGACATCGGGGTTATAATTGGTCTTCAGCAAACCAATGCGTAGAGGCGTAGAGACGACTAACGGGTGGTCAGGCGCTCTGACTTGGTTGATGCATGTCATCGTATCCCAATTGCGTGGATCGATGCTCATGGTGCCAATCACTGAATTGTCTTGTCCATACTCGAATATTTTACAGACCGCTGTCATATAGCTGGAATATTGCTGAGTGTGGCGTTAAACAACAAAGAAAGAAAGAAAGAAAGAAACAAACAACTTTGCAGGCAATAAAATTGGGTCCAAACCTGACTCTATTACGTGCCGTTCCAACCATTCTAAAAAAAAAAAAAAGGTTTACAAGAAAACGTATGTCTATTCTCTTGAAAAAAAGTTGAATCATGTCCTAAAAAGGGGCAAAATGGGCCCTTGTGTCTCGTCTTTTACGGTCAAATATAACTCTCATAATACCTTTTTTATTGTTTTAAGTGTGTTTGTGTTTTTATTGTTTCTTTGGGGTTGGTGTAGGCTATTTTGTTGGCCATCAGGTCTCTAGAACCAAGCATCTAGAACAATCAATCTCTACTGACTTTACTGTGTATTGGAATTTTTTGTGTACATTTTATAAATACTTGTCATGATTTCATGTTTAACTAGTTGTAACCGTAAGTGACCGCCTCCGTGGTCTAGTGGTAGAGCGTCCGCCCGGAGAGCGGAAGGTTCGGGGTTCGATCAACGGCCGCGTCATACCAAAAGACGTTAAAAGATAGTACTTTTTCTTACCCTGTCTGGCGCTCGGCATTAAAGGGCTAAAGCAAGGACTGGTCGGCTCGGAGTCTGTATACTGTGTCTGAGTTGGGTATTCATGTTAAACTGCGGCATGGTATCTCAGTGAGCTAGCACTATAATTCTGCATCAGCCCGGACTGGTACAAGCAGCCACACACACACGTGCATACACGTCGCTATGTAAGTGCAATAATCTTAAACGCGACGTTAAACCCTATTTCACCTCAGCTTGTATCAATAAGTAATCGTGTTTTCTTTTAAAATATATAAAACAGCATTTCTTCTTTCTCAATGAGTCCAAGGTAAAGCAATTAGACCTGGAAGAGGTGGCGAGGTGAAATTAGGTTTAACATCGGATTCAAGATTATTGCAGTGATATAGCCGCGTTTGTGTGGCTGCTTGTACTTGCCCTGACTAATATAGCGCTAGCCCACTTACTCCGAGCCGACATGTCCTTGTTTTATCCCCTTAAGGAAGAGCGCCAGGAAGGGTAACGACATATACATCGATGTGACGGGGCTAGGGGATCGAACAACCAACCTACTGCTATCCAGGAAGACGCTCTATCCACTAGACCACTGAGAAGGCGGCCTACAACCATGTTAGAATTTGAAGCCAATATTTGTGTCAGGCAAATGAACGTTCACATACCATCAGACATTTCACACTGGGACCTAAAGACGACAACAACAATAACAACCACAACAACAACAATACAATTCTTTGATTTTTTTATTATTATTAATTATATTTTAACAGTTGACCTTATTGTGTAGGGAAACATCCACAAGCTACTTTTTAAAAGGCCGTTTGATTCTGATAAGATATCTCTCTCTCATAGTTCAAGCCAGGTGAGCCCTCAGATTGGTGAGTTCTATGATCTATCTCGGAACAGCGCGCGTCACATTCGGAACATAATTACTGACTTCAATATCTCGAAAACGAAAAATAAAACCAGGCAGATCAGAATGTTGAATAATAATTGAGCGCTTGTTTTTTTAAAGCTGTATTAGACATTGTCTTCTCAGTCGGGTCTTCAATCAATGAGTAATAATTTCTCCTACACCAAGCATAGATAAAATTAGGATGGCGAAGGCGTCCATTTTGACAATACTGCCTAATCATGTAAGAAATAAACACAACTGATTGTTCTAAAACATGACGAGGGTCGATCCTGACACACGTGACAAGGGTTTGTCAGGTCCTGGTGGACATAGCTTATAGAGATATCAAAACTAATTTGATTTTGGTAAAAACGATATTTTTCATTTTCTTTTCAATTTTTAAAAAAATTCCCAGTGTGAGACATGGCCGGTCGCTCATCACATATTCAGTGCCATAAGGGGGGAACTTGCAGGTATAATCACCCAGGGAGAAGCTCTGCGTGAACAATCACCAAGTCAGTCAGTGAGGCAGGCACTGTGTGACCAGTCATCCGATCAGTCAACGAGTCAGGCACTGAACAATCGCTCAATCATCAGTCACTGACTCACGAATTTTGTCTGGTCGGTGGTGTCCGGCATGTACGAGGGGATATCAACAAGTTTTGAGTCTCACACAGAAAAAGTAAAAGAATTGGATTGTTACTACTTTATTTTTCATCATAGTCCCCTCCCAACTCCACACACTTGTTCCCCCTAGTTTGCCAGTCACTGATGCCCGATCGGTAGAAGTCAACATTCTGGTCCCCTAACCAACCCTCCACAGCAGCAGTTAGCTCATCGTCATCTTCAAATATCCGACCCCGGAGGTGTTTTTTTCAGCCTGGGAAAGAGGTGGAAGTCACTGGGGGCTAGGTCTGGAGAATAGGGTGGGTGAGGGAGGAGTTCGTAGCCACATTCTTGCACAGCTGTCATTGCAACACGGCTCGTGTGGAATCCCACGACGGATTTTTCCACGGCGTTTCACCTTGATGGATTCAATAACTTGGCGTAATACTCCCCATTCATTGTGGTGCCATGGGGCAGGTAGTCGATGTGAATCACACCTTTGCTGTCCCAGAAGATGGTCATCATAACCTTCTTGGTGGATCTGGTGGCTTTGAACTTCTTTGTCTTTGGAGAAGTGGCGTGTTTCCATTCCATCGACTCCTGTTTGCTCTCCGGATCATAATGATAAACCCAGGTTTCATCACTGGTTACAATCCTAAAATGAAAATCATCTGGGTTGGCGTTGTACCGAGTTAGCAAGGCTCCACTGATGGTGACCCTTGATAGCTTCATGTCATCTGTAAGCATTCTCGGGACCCATCTGGCACACACTTTGGACATGTGGAGTTTGCCATGAATTATATTATGTATGGATCCATCCATATGATAGGCCTGTTGTTTCTTCTAGCTCATGGAGAGTAATACGGCGGTTTTCCATCACTAGTTTGTGTACAGTGTCAATGTTTTCAGGGCTGGTACTGGTTGATGGCCGTCCGGACCGGGCATCATCTTCTAAGCTCTCTCTGCCACGCTGAAATTCCATCACCCACCGTTTGATAGTTGCAGACGATGGGGAAGACTCTCCATAAACTGCAGTCAATCGCTCTCCCACCTGTTTGGCAGATTGACCCTCCAGGACAAGGAACTTTATCACCGCTCTGTACTCAGATTTGTCCATTTAGCCAATTCACTAGGGTAGATCTCTTCCACGAAGTGTTGTGACAAAATAATTGCAGCCAGCAATATGTTTCTACATAGCATCAGTAGCTAAGACATTCATGTACATCAGGTGTAGCGCATTGTACCATTCGACCAGGAATACTGCGTGAGGCTCAAAACTTTTTGATATCCCCTCGTATGCGATGGGCAGCTGACTGTCAGGGTGTCTGCAAAACGACGATGTATTGTGCCATAATTTGGAGCTAATATTTTGGGGACATTTTATTTCCTTTCTGACTTAAAGTGAGTGTGGTTTTACGCCGCTTTTAGCAACATTCAATGGTCAACCCCTAATCAACTCTATATTGTCTATCTTCAACTTCACTTTCATTCATGCGACGTCACCATTCAACAAAGAACTTCAAAACACAGTTGTGTTAACATTTTAATATTTTTAGATAATTAAAAACCTATACTCTTTTCGAGATTATTGTTTGCCAGAATCTTCTTTCCTTGGTTTTGTCTTTATCCACTTCCCTGAAATACAAAACAAAAAACCCTTGATAAATCTCGACACAGTTTTATCAATTTTCAAACAATAATGTATAATATGCAGGTGTTTGATGGAAACATATCTTAACATTCATTCTGAGACATAACTGAATACTTGATGTGGTAACTAAATTTTCAAGAATCATGTTGAATACAAATCGTGGCACGAGCATAGAACCCCATACATTTATACAAATACATTCTTAGCATTCATTTAAAGTCACAAAACCACCAACATGTATATAGACCATGGAATTAAACAACTGTACCTACGTTAACATATTTCACAGCCCCTGGTTCATTTGCTGCATTTCTCAATGATCCAACATTCCTGTTATTATCTCCTGGAATTCTCATGTTCATCCTTGCTGCAGCGAAAGCAACAATGTTCCACATTATAACAAAGTCAAAACTAGAACTATATTCAATAAGCATATAATTATAGTTTATCCAAAAAGATAACATATATTGTATAATTGCCTAAAATTTAGGAAAAACTGTAAATTTAATATCATCATGTTTGTTTGTTGTTTAACGCCGCACTCAGCAATATTCGGGCAATATGACGTGGGTCTGTAAATAATCGAGTCTGGACCAGACAATCCAGTGATTGACATCATGAGCATCGATCCACGCAATTGGGATCGATGACATGCATGAACCAAGTCAGCAAGACTGACCACCCGATCAAGTTAGTCGCCTCTTACGACAAGCATAGTCGCCTTTTACGACAAGCATGGGTTGCTGAAGACCTATTCTATCCAGTATAACGTCGGATCGGAAATATCTCAGCCTCCAGATATCAAGTAACAAAATTATTAAGTGAGTACCATAATAAGAAACACCAAACGTAATTTGGTTTCAATATCATACTCCGTTCTGAAAATAACTGATTGGATTCTTGGTCAGACAGTCCAGTGATTGATACTATGAGCAACATCCCACAACCTCGGTCTGAGTACAATGGCACAACCTTAATGTTGTTCCCCTTAGGCAGCTGTTAGTACAAACATGGTTTATTGGGGACCTATTCTAAACCGGAATTCAAACGGGAATAGATATTACAGTAAACTACGGTTATAACGAACACGCTTATAACGAACTAACGGATATAACGAACTAACTTTTAAAGGCCCGACTATATGCTGTAGTTAAGCTGTATATATGCTTATAACGAATTACGGTTATAACGAACTAAAATTAGTAGTCCCTTTGAGTTCGTTATAACCGTAGTTTACTGTATATTAAACAGGCTTTGTAACTAATTACGACTCACATCTTCATCGCTGCGCAGTTAATAACTACAGTACGATTTCGTAGCAAGCATTGTCATCAGACTCGTTCAGATTTCGATCGCAACTTTCTTTCTCTCATTGTGAAAAAGTTTCAGAGAACCAGTGAGTGAGTATGATTTTGCGCAATATTCCAGCAATATCACGGCAGGGGACTTCAGAGAAGCAAGGATCACATGAAATTTATTTGGTACTACATTTATTGAACAATATAGTTCAACATCGTTAAATATAATTCTGTATAGTACATGGCAAACTATGGAGATCGAAAACCGAACGAATATGGTGGCTATCAATTTCATTGTATTTTTCATTGGTGCACATTGGGTACACCTATCTCACCCTAATAATCAACAAACGATGACCAACTCACTGACAATGCATGCATATTGTAATAACTTTTGATAATCGACAAGCTTATCACCACACCACCGAGGACCAACTACCGCAAACACCCCGTTATAGCGCGACGAGAGACTCGTTTTACTGTTGCTCGTTTTCATAAGAAGGAAGTCTGACATATTTATCGGAAAATGATGAATTGATTCTTTATGGGAAATATTAGAATTATACATTGTAAGCGCGATAAGACTAGGGCGATAACTAGCAGCCTACAGTTCGTCGACCTGAAAATACTTCCTTTGTTTCGCTTTCCTGTCTTGGCTGTATAACAGAAATCTACACAACCATTCTTACGGACTGAAATGAGCGAAATTGTTTCACAAAAATCAAAGTCAGTAGATTAGTTCATGTACAGTAAACTTTAAATAGCAATGATTTCAGAAATAACACGAAAGAAATGGCGATAACTGTCAGTGGTCAGTAGGCGATGCATACGTTATATATACAGTAGGCCTATTGACCTTTTTCGAACTTTCGCCATCTTGGATGGAAAACGAGGATTGGAGAGCAAAAGCGACTATGCCTGTCGGAAGAGGCGACTAACAGGATCGGGAAGACAGGCTCGCTGACTTAGTTGACGCATGTCATCGTATCCCAACTGCGTGGATCGCTGCTCATGATGTCAATCAGTGGATTGTCTAGTCCTGACTCGCTTAATTACGAACCGACGTCATATAGCTGGAATATTGCTGAGTGCCGCGTTCAACAACAAACAAAACATATAATTTACGTTTTGACGATTCTGCGTGCATTTAAAAAACACCCGTTGGTTCAGTTTGATATTCTTTGGGGATAGGGGTGGTCGGCAATTCTATTTCAACATTCTGCATAATTATTTTTTTTCAAACAGTTTCTGTGACAATTTTCTTGATACAATCTCCGGCCAAAATATCAAATGGTTCGAGTGATGCTAATATGTGTGAGTATTCTGAAATCTGAAGTCCCGTGAAGATCCGGGCTAGAATAGGTCTTCAGCAACCCATGCTTGCCGTAAAAGGCGACTATGCTTGTCGTAAAAGGCGACTAACGGGATCGGTGGTCAGGCTCGCTGACTTGGTTGAAGCATGCCATCGATCCCAATTGTGTGGATCGATGTTCATGATGTAAATCACTGGATTGTCTGGGCCAGACTCGATTATTTACAGACCCACGTCATATATCTGGAATATTGCTGAGTGCGGCGTAAAACAACAACCAAACCAAACCAAACCAAACCAAACCAAACCAAACCAATCTGAAATCTGAAACAACAGGCAATGCTGTATTGTATCTTGAAGTAACTCGGCCTTTACAATAGTTGAATGTGGCCCGTGACACAGTCTTGCAACCTCGGTCGTGCTATGCCTCATCCAGCGTCCGGAAGTCCGGAAGTCATCGTTGAAACACCCCTCGACTCTTGTGTTGACGCCAGTTTATCAGTAAGTATAAGTTACAATTTAAATGTTATCCTTCGTTTTAAAACTGTTGTTCTTTTCTGTAAACAGTTAATTTGTTTTCAGGTTTGTTGTTTGATGCCACAGGCAGCCTTATTACAGGTTTTGACGGCCGTCTGTAAATAATCAAGACTGGACCAGACAATTTAGTGATTGTAATACAACAAGCATAGGATACTGGGGGGTTAGACTGCCCCGACACACAACGATTTTATGTCTTTTGTGTTGCATAATGATTACTGTCATGGATTGTATGTCGTTTGTGTTGCATTACTTAGATTGTATGTCGTTTGTGTTGCATTACTTAGATTGTATGTCGTTTGTGTTGCATTACTTAGATTGTATGTCGTTTGTGTTGCATAATGATTACTGTCATGGATTGTATGTCGTTTGTGTTTCATTACTTAGATTGTATGTCGTGTGTGTTGCATTACTTAGATTGTATGTCGTTTGTGTTCCTTTACAATAATGGATTGTATGTCGTTTGTGTTGCATTACAATAATGGATTGTATGTCGTTTGTGTTGCATTACTGTCATGAATTGTATGTCGTTTGTGTTGCATTACTTAGATTGTATGTCGTTTGTGTTGCATTAATGTCAGGGATTGTATGTCGTTTGTGTTGCATTACTGTCATGGATTGTTTGTCGTTTGTGTTGCATTACTTAGATTGTATGTCGTTTTTCTTGCATTACTGTCATGAATTGTATGTCGTTTGTGTTGCATTACAATAATGGATTGTATGTCGTTTGTGTTGCATTAATGTCATGGATTGTATGTCGTTTATGTTGCATTACTGTCATGGCTTGTTTGTCGTTTCTGTTGCATTACATAGATTGTATGTCGTTTGTGTTGCATTACTTAGATTGTATGTAGTTTGTGTTGCATGACTGTCATGGATTGTATGTCGTTTGTGTTGCATTACAATAATGGATTGTTTGTCGTTTGGGTTGAATTACAATAATGGATTGTTTGTCGTTTGTGTTGCATTACAATAATGGATTGTTTGTCGTTTGTGTTGCATTACTGTCATGGATTGTTTGTCGTTTGGGTTGAATTACAATAATGGATTTTTTGTCGTTTGTGTTGCATTACAATAATGGATTGTATGTAGTTTGTGTTGCATCATTTCCATGGATTGTATCTCATTTATGTTGCATCATTTCCATGGATTGTATGTCATTTATGTTGCATTACTGTCATGGATTGTATGTCGTTTGTGTTGCATTATTGTCATGGATTGTATGTCGTTTGTGTTGCATTAATGTCAGGGATTGTATGTCGTTTATGTTGCATTACTGTCATGGCTTGTTTGTCGTTTCTGTTGCATTACTTAGATTGTATGTCGTTTGTGTTGCATTACTTAGATTGTATGTCGTTTGTGTTGCATTACAATAATGGATTGTATGTCGTTTGTGTTGCATTACAATAATGGATTGTTTGTCGTTTGTGTTGCATTACAATAATTGATTGTTTGTCGTTTGTGTTGCATTACTGTCATGGATTGTTTGTCGTTTGGGTTGAATTACAGTAATGGATTTTTTATCATTTGTGTTGCATTACAATAATCGATTGTATGTAGTTTGTGCTGTATTATTTCCATGGATTGTTTGTCATTTATGTTGCATTACTGTCATGGATTGTATGTCGTTTGTGTTGCATTATTGTCATGGATTGTATGTCATTTGTGTTGCATTACTGTCATGGATTGTATGTCGTTTGTGTTGCATTACATAGATTGTATGTCGTTTGTGTTGCATTACTCTAATGGATTGTTTGTCGTTTGGGTTGAATTACAATAATTGATTGTTTGTCGTTTGTGTTGCATTACAATAATCGATTGTATGTAGTTTGTGTTGCATTATTTCTATGGATTGTATGTCATTTATGTTGCATTACTGTCATGGATTGTATGTCGTTTGTGTTGCATTATTGTCATGGATTGTATGTCATTTGTGTTGCATTACTGTCATGGATTGTATGTCGTTTGTGTTGCATTATATAGATTGTATGTCGTTTGTGTTGCATCACTCTAATGGATTGTTTGTCGTTTGTGTTCCTTTACAATAATGGATTGTATGTCGTTTGTGTTGCATTACTTAGATTCTATGTCGTTTGTGTTGCATTACTGTCATGGATTGTATGTCGTTTGTGTTGCATTACTTAGATTGTATGTCGTTTGTGATGCATTACAATAATGGATTGTGTGTCGTTTGTGTTTCATTACTTAGATTGTATGTCGTTTGTGTTGCATTACAATAATGGATTGTATGCCGTTTGTGTTCCATTACTGTCATGGATTGTATGTCGTTTGTGTTGCATTACAATAATGGATTGTGTGTCAATTGTGTTGCATTACTTAGATTGAATGTCGTTTGTGTTGCATTACAATAATGGATTGTATGTCGTTTGTGTTCCATTACTCTCATGGATTGTATGTCGTTTGTGTTGCATTACAATAATGGATTGTGTGTCGTTTGTGTTGCATTACTTAGATTGTATGTCGTATGTGTTCCTTTACAATAATGGATTGTGTGTCAATTGTGTTGCATTACTTAGATTGAATGTCGTTTGTGTTGCATTACAATAATGGATTGTATGTCGTTTGTGTTGCATTACTCTAATGGATTGTTTGTCGTTTGGGTTGAATTACAATAATTCATTGTTTGTCGTTTGTGTTGCATTACAATAATGGATTGTATGTAGTTTGTGTTGCATTATTTCTATGGATTGTATGTCATTTATGTTGCATTACTGTCATGGATTGTATGTCGTTTGTGTTGCATTATTGTCATGGATTGTATGTCATTTGTGTTGTATTACTGTCATGGATTGTATGTCGTTTGTGTTGCATTATATAGATTGTATGTCGTTTGTGTTGCATCACTCTAATGGATTGTTTGTCGTTTGTGTTCCTTTACAATAATGGATTGTATGTCGTTTGTGTTGCATTACTTAGATTCTATGTCGTTTGTGTTGCATTACTGTCATGGATTGTATGTCGTTTGTGTTTCATTACTTAGATTGTATGTCGTTTGTGATGCATTACAATAATGGATTGTGTGTCGTTTGTGTTGCATTACTTAGATTGTATGTCGTTTGTGTTGCATTACAATAATGGATTGTATGCCGTTTGTGTTCCATTACTGTTATGGATTGTATGTCGTTTGTGTTGCATTACAATAATGGATTGTGTGTCAATTGTGTTGCATTACTGAGATTGAATGTCGTTTGTGTTGCATTACAATAATGGATTGTATGTCGTTTGTGTTCCATTACAATAATGGATTGTGTGTCGTTTGTGTTGCATTACTTAGATTGTATGTCGTTTGTGTTCCTTTACAATAATGGATTGTATGTCGTTTGTGTTGTATTACTGTCATGGATTGTATGTCGTTTGTGTTGCATGACATAGATTGTATATCGTTTGTGTTCCATTACAATAATGGATTGTGTGTCGTTTGTGTTGCATTACTCTCATGGATTGTATGTCGTTTGTGTTGCATTACTTTCATGGATTGTATGTAGTTTGTGTTGCATGACTGTCATGGATTGTATGTCGTTTGTGATGCATTACAATAATAGATTGTGTGTCGTTTGTGTTTCATTACTTAGATTGTATGTCGTTTTTGTTGCATTACAATAATGGATTGTATGCCGTTTGTGTTCCATTACTGTCATGGATTGTATGTCGTTTGTGTTGCATTACAATAATGGATTGTGTGTCAATTGTGTTGCATTACTTAGATTGAATGTCGTTTGTGTTGCATTACAATAATGGATTGTATGTCGTTTGTGTTCCATTACTCTCATGGATTGTATGTCGTTTGTGTTGCATTACAATAATGGATTGTGTGTCGTTTGTGTTGCATTACTTAGATTGTATGTCGTTTGTGTTCCTTTACAATAATGGATTGTATGTCGTTTGTGTTGTATTACTGTCATGGATTGTATGTCGTTTGTGTTGCATGACATAGATTGTATATCGTTTGTGTTCCATTACAATAATGGATTGTGTGTCGTTTGTGTTGCATTACTCTCATGGATTGTATGTCGTTTGTGTTGCATTACTTTCATGGATTGTATGTAGTTTGTGTTGCATGACTGTCATGGATTGTATGTCGTTTGTGTTGCATTACTGTAATGGATTGTTTCTCGTTTGTGTGGCATTACTTAGATTGTATGTCGTTTGTGTTGCATTACTTAGATTGTATGTCGTTTGTGTTCCCTTACAATAATGGATTGTATGTCGTTTGTGTTGCATTACTGTCATGGATTGTATGTCTTTTGTGTTGCATTACTGTCATGGATTGTATGTCGTTTGTGTTGCATTACTGTCATGGATTGTATGTCGTTTCTTTTCCATTACTTAGATTGTATGTCGTTTGTGTTGCATAACTTAGATTGTATGTCGTTTGTGTTGCATTACAATAATGGATTGTATGTCGTTTGTGTTGCATTACAATAATGGATTGTTTGTCGTTTGTGTTGCATTACTGTCATGGATTGTTTGTCGTTTGGGTTGAATTACAATAATGGATTGTTTGTCGTTTGTGTTGCATTTCAATAATGGATTGTTTCTCGTTTGTGTTGCATTACTGTCATGGATTGTTTCTCGTTTGGGTTGAATTACAATAATGGATTGTTTGTCGTTTGTGTTGCATTACAATAATCGATTGTATGTATTTTGTGTTGCATTATTTCCATGGATCGTATGTCATTTATGTTGCATTACTGTCATGGATTGTATGTCGTTTGTGTTGCATTACATAGATTGTGTGTCGTTTGTGTCGCATTACTGCCATGGATTGTTTGTCGTTTGTGTTGCATTACAATAATGGATTGTGTGTCGTTTGTGTTGCATTACTTAGATTGTATATCGTTTGTGTTGCATTACAATAATGGATTGTATGTCGTTTGTGTTCCATTACTGTCATGGATTGTATGTCGTCTGTGTTGCATTACAATAATGGATTGTATGTCGTT